ACCATGAAATCACCTCTCGATCTGCTACAAATCATGGTACTCGAACCATGAAATCACCTTTCGATCTGCTACTAATCATGGTACTCGAACTATGACATCACCTCTCGATCTGCTACTTAAAACCTCTGGAATATTCCCTGTATCGAGCATGGGTCCTCTGCTTTCAGTATTACGGGCCCATACTACCTGTCATATCTACCCATACTTTTTACACGGACCATCACCGCGTTTCTAAGGAGCTGCTCAACCTTCTTGATCACCAATCCCGTCACGCGTGTTCGCTCCTCTGCGAAATGCTCTACTCTGTCAGCGTACTCATCTAACTAGGGTCACCCTTTCCTAGGCTCTTCCTAGGTTCTCACACTTCTCCGCCATCAGCTGCTGAAGAACTCCTTATGATGCCAGCCATCTACCTCCTGAATATCGTCATATTCATTTAGTAGGAGACTCCCATCATCAAGAGTTCCACAAATCACGAAGCAAGCAGCATTCGGGCATCGAATAATCTCTACCAACATGTAAAACCACTCTAGGTTATTACTCACTTGCTCTCCTCATACTCAAAGGATATCACTGAACTCAAGCAACTTTACCCCACGCTGGCATCTGACTACTCTCTCAGTAGACTCCTCAAATGCTCATCTAGGTATCTCTCCTAGATTACTCCTCTACTCAGATCCCTTTCTAAAAGGATTCCTGCTGGATACTCTTACTCAACACATACTCGAAGGCACATCGCATATAACAGCAACTCCTAGGCTAAGGCATCAAAGATCAGGCCACTCTAGTCCTAAAATATGAAATGCCTAGCCTATCTCTAGGATGCATAGCATATCACGTAATATCTCATAACACATAATGTAAGGGTATTTTGGAAAATCACCGTTCGGGCGCTGGCTGATCGTACACACTGCTCCGTTCTGATTTTCTCAAAAATCTTTTATTCTTTTAGAAAAATTGTTTCTTTTATGAAAATTTTCCTCAAATCCTCAGTTTGAGTTCAGATAAGCCCGAAGGTGCATCCGAATCCCTCAAACCAAGGCTCTGATACCAACTTGTAACGACGTAAATTTTAAAACAATTTTTCATTTTTCAAACATAATAAAACTCATATAATATTCTCAAAATCTCATGTATCAATGTCATCACAGTAAAACAAATCCCAGAATCTCAACACATAATCTTCTGCCAGTGTGTACAAATCATGCCGGCGCCTTCCCGCGACCCTCGCTGGTACCTGAAAAACATATCACATAACACGGTAAGCAAAAATGCTTAGTGAGTTCCCCAAAAATACCACATACAACACATAAGCCACTCGAGGCTATAACTCGGTATGACCCTCCGGTCAATGTGTCTCAGCGGGACCCTCCAGTCCCGTAGCTCGTTGGACCCTCCAGTCCGGTCTAGCTCGTTGGACCCTCCGGTCCGGTCTAAATCGTTGGACCCTCCGGCCCGGTCTATATAACACATAGCATACATATATCACAATGAACATAAGACCCTCCGGTCTGCACATAGATACCACTCTAGGTAATGTATAGTGAGAAGACTCACCTGACAAGCAGCAAGTAAAGACCTCGCTCCCGAATCTCGAACTAGCCTCCGCCTAATCACAAGGGATGAATATTTCTAAGTGATACTCTAATCACAACTCTAATGACCGAAGGCTAATCTTCCTTTCTTTAACCCTTTGAAGTGGATAAAAGACCATTTTACCCATCCATGGTCTCTACTACTCATGTTGACCAAAGCCCCACAGTCAACAGTCCCTGTTTGACCCGACTCGCCGAGTGCACCCTTGCGACTCGTCGAGTCCACTTACTTTCCTCAGAAATCTTGTGACAGTCCAGCTCAACTCGTCGAGTTGACCCCCAACTCGCCGAGCAATCGCATGATTCAGTTCCTCGGGGACAAACCCTAACCAACTCGTCGAGTCGGCTCATCGACTCGGCGAGTTCATTCACACCAAATGTTCATTCAGACGATTTCAATCAGATCTATCACTCCAAACACTAGATCTATCATCCCAAGGTTTAAAAATCACGTAAAGCTTTGATCTTTACGTTCATACATGGGGTTATTGCTCCAAAATGCTAATATATGCCTTTCATGAAGGATTTAGCTCATCAACCCTCATTTGGACGACTAAAGCTGGGACACCTAGACTCTAAGGACCTTAGGAGGTCCAGATCTGAGGTTTCCAACCTCAAACCATGTCTCATTCGACTCATAGATTCAAAAGGATGGAAGCAAAGCCCTAAAACTCCCAAAATGAGATCTAGTAATGAACAAGATGAGGACTTTGTACCTTCTCTTAGCAGCTGAAGCACTCAATACCACAAATCCACTGCCTTCCTTTGTTCCGCATCATGAAGCTCTTCATCCTTCTTCATAGAAATGCACCAAGAACCACAATATGAGCTTCTCTCTCACTCTCTAGCTCCAATAGCAAATAAGGTTCGCTCTCAGGGGAAGGTAGCCGCAAATGAGGCTATAAATGCCTTTAAATAGGTCCCAAACTCGGGAAATTAGGGTTTCTCTGCCCAGCACCTACTTGGCGAGTCCCTCCTCTGACTCGTCGAGTCCATTCATTAAATCCACGCGGCAATCTCGACTCGACTCGGTGAGTTGGTCCCTCAACTCGTCGAGTCCCTCCTTAAATCTCAAGATTAATATACACAATAATGTCCCTGAAAATCCGGATGTTACAAGACTTTGTTGTGTACAGTGACACTTCAACAAAAGGTCTCGGTTGTGTCTTGATGCAGCGAGAGAAAGTTATTGCATATGCCTCCCGACAGTTGAAAGAAGCTGAAACGAGATATACAACCCATGACCTAGAACTAGCGGCTATTTTTTTGCGCTAAAGATATGGAGACATTACTTGTATGGTACGCACTGCAAGTTATACACTGATCATAAAAGTCTTCAGTATGTATTTACCCAGAAAGATTTGAATATGAGGCAAAGATGGTGGATTGAACTAATTAATGATTATGATTGTGAAATAATCTACCATGCCGGCAAGGCGAATGTAGTTGCAGATGCATTAAGCCAGAAAATACCTGACGTCCGTATTAAAGGAAGGTCCATGAGAATAGAGTTGATATCTACTCTATTGGATCAAATCAAAATGGATCAGGTAGAAGCAATGAAAACTGAAAAATATTAAACAAGAAAAGCTACAGAAAAAGATAGTATTTGGAGAAAATGAGCGAGGCATAAAGATGTTTAAAGACCGAATTTGGGTTCCCACGTTTGGGGACACTCGAAAAATGGTAATAGATGAAGCACATAAATCTAAATACTCCATTCATCCTGGGAGTACAAAGACTTACAGAGATTTGAATCAGATGTATTGGTGGCTTAATATGAAGCTAAATGTGGCAAAATATATATCAGAATGTTCAACATGTGCTCAAGTCAAATTTGAGCATCAAACCCCGTATGGATAGTCAAAATCTCTTCAAGTCCCAGCTGGAAAATGGGATGAAATCACTATGGATTTCATCATGGGGCTACCAAGAACTAGTCAAGGACATGATTCCATTTGGTTTATTGTTGACCGCTTGACAAAAAGTGTGTTGTTTTTAGCAATAAGGGAAACAACTCCTTTAGATAAGCTAGTGAAGTTATATGTCGACGAAGTCGTAAGACTTCATGGAGTTCCTTTGACAATTGTATTAGACAGAGATGCCAGATTTACTTTTAAATGCTGACAAGCTTTACAAAAAGAACTGAGAACAAAAATCCACCTAAGTACAGTATATCATCCTCAAACTGACGGTCAAAGTGAACGCACAATTCAAACTGTTGAAGACATGTTGCGAGCATGTGTTATCGATTTTAAAAACAGGTGGAACGGGCATCTTCCACTAGTGGAGTTCGCCTATAATAATAGCTACCATTCAAGCATTGGAATGCCCCCATATGAGGCATTGTATGGGAGAAAATGTAGAACACCTCTGTGTTGGCTCGAAGCAGTCGAGAGAAAGCTTACAGGTCCAGAATTTGTAAGAATTACCAATGAAAATATTAAAATCGTTCAAATGCACATGAAAGCGGCTCAAGATCGACAAAGAAGTTATTCAAATTTAAAGAAAAGGCCATTTGAAATGAATCCTGGTGATTTAGTAATGTTGAAAATATCACCATGGAAATGCGTAATGTGTTTTGGCAGAAAGGGTAAATTGAGCCCAATGTACATCGGACCATTCAAAATATTGAAAAAGGTCGGGTCTCAAGATTTTAAAATAGAATTAACTCCAGAACTTAATGGAATACATGATGTATTTCATGTATGTTACTTGAAAAGGTATCTTGGAAGGGATGATAAAATTATACCATTGAAAGATGTGAAAGTGGAATATCCTAATCGATTGGTAGAAGAACCATAAGCGATAGTTGGATCCCAAATCAGAAAATTAAGAAATAAGGAAATTGAACTTGTGTTAGTTCAATGGAAGCATTCCTTAGGTCCAAATCAAACGTGGGAGAGGAAAGATGAAATAATGAAGCGTTATCCTCACCTCAATTTTGATAAGATTTCAGGGACGAAATCCCTTTAAGGGGGGTGGTATTGTAATGACCGTAATATAAATAAATAAATTTTAAAAAAAACTCAAATTATTTGTTACAACATGTATTTTGTCTAAATATATGTGAACTCAAGAAGTGAAATAGTAACATTTTTGATAACACAATATGCATATCGATGTACATATTGCATCATAACTAAAAATGTAGAATACTTTAGTAGGGAACCCATTATATGAAAGTAGTTGACTTAATATGAATTTGTGGATATAAAATAATCAAAATCCGAATCCGTACAAAGAATTTATGGAGAAATTTTAAATTTAAGGATATGATGTGTTTATTTGAGAAGAGACAAGGGACCATTAATACAATGTGGAGGATATGTTATGTCAATAACATAGGAGATGAAAGATAAAACTTGTAAATATGGATCAAATAACTTATGATTGTGTAACGACATGAAAAGGTGGATGGTAAACTCTTATTTGATACATCCCACGTGTTGGTAAATTAGGAAGTTACGTGTCTAGTGAAACTGCCACAGATCCATGTGCAGCCGATAACTTTTTTTTGTTCTAGCTCGTCAATTCTGTTTCATTTTTTTATGTAACAAAGAAATAGAGAGAGGCGGATAGGACAGTAAACACTCCATCTCCTACTTCAAATTGAAAAGAGGAATACAATCCATCTCCTACTTCAAATTGAAAAGAGGAATACAATCAAGATTTATTGTTTTCTACTTACGCTAAAGGTATTTAAACGTCTTTTTATTTATTTGATATTATTTAATGGATTTTTGAGTTTCATAAGAAGCTTAGAATCTTATAACCAACTGCATGTTAAATAAATAAATAAATAAATATACGTTTGCATATTCATCGATTAAATTATTAAACATTTCTAAGTTTAAATAAACATGTTTAATATAAATTGGAGGATTTGATCGTTTTCATCAAACATGAATATTGAAAGTTTGGAAATAGGATGCGACATATTATTTTGGAATTTATCAAGATTTTTGACTAATAAAAATCAATATTATATTGACATACATAAGAATAATCAAGATTTAATTAGAGGAATTCTAAAGTACTAGTTAGAAGCATAATCGTTTATGCAGAAGCATTATAAGTTGTTGAATTATTGCAATGGATTAATTTATCAGGATTGAAGGAAATGATTACTCAAACAACGTGATAATAAAAGTTAATCAACCTAACTTTCTTTAAGGTGAGTTATGAAACCTTGTAAAGTAGGAATACATGGCTTGTATGTTGTGCTTAATGAAATAAGTGCTTATTAAATGTGTTGGCACTTAGAATGTATTGTTCAATCGATTGTATAGTTGTATTGTGTTGCTACATAAATATTAAGTAACACAAAGAAAATAGGGTAAATGTCACTATAGCCCATTCAACTATCGTCATTTATCCTATTTGGTCACTAAAGTATTTTTTTTGCTCAATAGGTCATTAAACTTATAATTTACATGTCTATTAAGTCATTTTCGTTAGTTTTTAACAGATCTTCCGTTAACCAGTTATTATAATTTACAAGAATGGTCCCTATGATTTCAATTTCTTTCGTGGTTGGTCTCATACCAGCATAGTTCATCACTGACGTCACCACCGTTCAATTCCGGCAACCACCACCCTTCACCTCGGGCAACCCCGTCAACTATTATACTCAACCTTTCTCTTACACCCACTTCATATATATCATATTTCTCTCTCTATATATAGAACCTCATTCTTCTTCCTGTTTCTCTCTCCTTCAAGAACACTAATTACAATTGAAGGAAGTTCCACTGATGATCAAAGCACAACTACAGAAACAACTTCAACAGTTGCAGCACCGGTGACTACGCCTCCACTGATCGGGCAGTAGGGGCAGCATGGTTCTTGACACCGATGAAGCGAGGTTGGAAGCTAGTTTCTTGAATTCTCATTCAAAAGCTGAGATCGTCGATATGTTGAGGAAACACACATACAATGATGAGCTAGAACAAAGTAAGAGAAGCTGTAGGTGACGAACGATGCTAGTAAAGGACCAACCATGAAAGAAATTGAAATCATAGGGACCATTCTTGTAAATTATAATAACTGGTTAACGGAAGATGTGTTAAAAACTAACAAAAATGACTTAATAGACATGTAAGTTGTAAGTTTAATGACCCATTGAGCAAAAAAAATACTTTAGTGACAAAATAGGATAAATGACGATAGTTGAATGGACTATAGTGACATTTACCCAAGAAAATATAAGGAGAAAAGATATCGCAAGCTTGCCCAAGGGTCCTTATGGACTAAGACGGGACCATTTGGATGATTTGTTCTCCAGTATCGATAGCCGTGAATTATTGACGGGACCATAATATGGATAGCCGTAAATTTATTATCGGGGCCATAATATGGATAGTTGTAGTTATTGATGAGACTATTTTTAGTCGCCATGGTTTATAGTAATTTAATTATTGTATTGAATTATAACTCACTGGATATGTTGTCTGATAATTGTTATGTACCATGTGTTCCAGGTTCAGGTACAAAACCTTAGTATGAGTGATGATAGTGGCAGCAAGAGTATAGAGTGGGTATAGATTTTGTACATAGTAATCTTGTTGCTTTAGTTATGGTTTTGATATGGTTTGTACACCCGCTAATTTTCTGGGAAAAACGTTATATGGTTTTTGGAAACTCTGGTTTTTGAATAATGTTATATAATACTCAGATAAATTCCCAGAAAATAACATTATAATATATGTAAAAAGTTTTGAGTGTTACACTCATCGGTAACAAAAGAGAGAAGAAAAGGGAGAGAGAACGATTACCTTGAAGACGGACCGACAATGTGTTTGTGGAAGTCTTCACAGATAATGAGAGACATATATGTTCAAGAAAACGTGTTGAGAAAGAAGCAGTACATTCAAGCACGGTGTAAGAGCACTAAGCTTGATGTGCTCTTATTAGTCTTTTAACATTTTGACAAAGGTTAATGTTTACAATATATAATTATTTAATTTTAATTCTTATATCAAAATATATTACTTTTAATTATATGATTATAAACATATACTACTTCTTTGTAGGGGAGGACCCAATATGCAGCACAGGGTAGCACAGGCTATCCTTCAAATTTTCCTGTCAAATGTAATTTGGTGAAACTCGTCAAAATCTGTTATAAATCCGTTGGAAATTCGTCACAAATACGTCACGAATCCGTTCTGATAATTGTGAATTTAGTTAAATTTGTCGGTTTAGTCCGTCCCTCTGCTTCTTTTTATGTTTGTATATATTTTCCATTTGTAAGTATGAAGCAACATCAAAAGGTTTATCTAAAAGTTAAGTGTTCCAATCATGTGCTTATATTCCTAGCCGATTGTGGATGAGGTTCTCTTAGCAGGGATATTAGTCTACTTTTTTTTAACCGGCAAACTGACATATTTCTAAAACCATCTATGTCTACTAACAAGACTTTAACCCATAACCTCTCTTTTGAACTCTTTTACCGCTCGGGTAAAGCCCTTTGGATATTAGCCTACTAGGTTGTGGGGATTGGTGTTGAGGCTGCCGGGGCACCATAAGAGTAGTTTGGGGGACATATACCTGGAGGAAGGAAATAGTTTGGGGGGACATAAGTGTAGTTTAAAAAATTAAGTATGAAGCAACAACCGTCACCGCAGAGCAACAACCGTCACCGCCGTCGGCTTAAACACGATCACCTCATCACCACTTTAGCCCTACCAATTTCGACCTCCATCCACCGTAAATCAGTCATCACAACCGCAAATCAATAATGAAGCCCACTTCTATCACTTCCCGTACCCCTTTTCCCACTCAATTTCGTTCTCTCCGTTGACCATCTTTTCTCTCTAGTTTCTATCTCTACGCCATCACCGCCATTTCTTCGTTTCTTCTCCGTTCTTTGTAATTCCTGCACTCCTTCTCTTACCACTATAAATATCAAAGTGCCCCAAGAAAATATTGTTATTAAAGACGATGTTGCAATTGAGACCTTTGAGGTTGAGGTATTGTCGCCTAGATTAAGCTCAAGCGATCAGTCTTTCTTTCTTTTAACTTTCATCGCTTGCACGGAGATTCCTCTTTAATTTCTCCTTTTCCATTACTATAGTTATTGGTGATGTTAATCCCATGGTGGTGGAAGTGAACCGATTGGGTTTAAATGATGCTAGAATGGAGTTTACTTTCTTAATCGCACTAACAATATAATAGTTCTTTTACTTAAAATTGTTGGGAATTAGATTCAGGTTATTGATAGATCATAAAGTATTGATATTTAGCTTAATGTTTGATGTATGGTATGCAGGCTTATAGCTGCATTCACAGGCTTTGTCATGGCAGCTGCTCCGACACTGAATGTAAGTTTTTAGCTTCCCTGATCTGATATACTGTTTTGATATTAGATTGTTGATTTTGTGGGGTGCACCATATTAAGATACTTATGGTGTTTGCTGCAATCTTGTTAAATGTCACTTTGGATGTATTTTAAAAGTATTTTAAAATTTAGGTTTTGGTAAACTATAAATTTCTTAGAAAATCACATCTGTTGTTTATATTGGTAGAAATAGCTAAGCAAGTTGTTCCTTGTTGCAATAAAAAATCATTGATTATGATGATTTATATTAAAAATGTGAAGTGGATATATCTTCAGAAGATCACATTTGTTGAGTATATCCATTTTAAAAATATCAACTGGAAGTTCCTTAGGAAATTACATCTGTTGTGTATATTGGTAGAAATAGCTAAGCAGGTTGTTCCTTGTTGCAATAAAAAATCATTGGTTATGATGATGATATCATCAATGTGAAATCAACTCATGTATTATTCAATTTGTCAGGTGGATATTTCTTTAGCTTTTGATAAGTTGAAAGTTTCATGGAAAATGATATCTGTTGTGTATATGCTAGAATTAGCTAAGCAAGTTGTTATTTGTTGCAATGAAAATTTATTGATCTTGATGATTTATATTGGCAATGTCAACTGCATATTTCTTTAGCTTTTGGGGGATTGAAATATCCTTAGAAAGTCCCATTTCTTATTAAATCTCTCTCTCTCTCTCTCTCTCTCTCTATATATATATATATATATATATATATATATATATATATATATATATATATATAGTATGTGTGTATGTATCTTTGACTTTTTCCAGCTACATACATTTTGTAATAGCAAATCAACATATCTTGACATAGTCGCTTCGTGAGGTTTAGGTGAATTGGAATTTTCTTGGAAACTCACATTTCTCGCTCTTGCAGTATATAGTTCATTTCATTGTGGTGCTGAAACCACATCACATACATTCTATCTCAAAAAATCAACTCATCAATGGCATCTTCATCATCTTTTCCCTCCACTCCAGCCTTCTCTTCTCAATCATGGAATCATGATGTTTTCCTTAGTTTCAGAGGAGAAGATACCCGCAGGACTTTTGTTGATCATCTCTACTCGGCTCTTGTCCTACAAGGAATCGACACTTACAAGGATGACGAAACACTTTGTCAGGGTGAATCGATCCGCCCATCCCTTGTGAAGGCTATTGAGGAATCACAAATAGTTGTCATCGTATTCTCTGAAAACTATGTAGATTCACCTGGGTGCTTGGATGAACTTGCACATATTATGAAATGCAAGGACATGAGAGGGCAAATCGTGATGCCCATATTTTATGATGTGGATTCGTCTGAAGTGCGAAAGCAAAAACGGAAATACGGAGAAGCATTTGCTAAACATGAGTTGGAGAACAAAGTTGAATCCTGGAGAAAAGCAATTGTGGATGCAAGTAACCTTTCTGGATGGGAACCCATGAACATTGCCAACGGGTAATTCTCCTCTTTGTGTTTGCACTTTTTACTCTTCAGATATGGGTGCTCTAAAAGATATTCTATAATTGTACTTTATAAGCTTAATTTCATGCAAATGTTTTAGTTATTCTTGATGATGTGATGCCCTTGATTAAACAGAGGCTTTGACTAGATCAATTGATCAGTTCGGTTTGTTAAAACATATCTCAAGTTTTAGGATTATTGATAAGCTACAATTCAGTTATGATGGACTTTATTAAGTTCTACCTTTTATTTCCTTACATAAAGCCTTGCTTGAAGCTACAATAACAAATCCATCTTGCTTCACTTTCAATTGTTTGAAATTATTCAATGTGATCATGTCTTAATTATCCCTCTTTCCAATCTGTAGGCATGAATCAAAGGCTATCAAAGAAATTGTTGACAAGATTTCATCGAGGTTGCAACTAATAACTTCAAATGCAAATGAGAACCTGATTGGAACAGGGGCTCGAGTCCATGGTCTTGAATCAAACCTACAACTTGGGTCAGGTGCACATGATAGGAATATGGGGGGTTGGGGGTGGTGGTAAGACTAGACTACTCTTGCATCTTCTATATATGATGAAATCTATAAAAAGTTTGATGGTTGTTGCTTTATTGCAAATATTCGAGAGGAATCAAGCAGGCATGGTTTGGAAACATTGCAAGAAAAAATTCTTTCAAAAAATGGAAGCAAACAACATTGGAGTAGTAAGATGTTTGATAAGTAAGAGGTTGCGCCATAGAAAGGTCCTTTTTGTTCTTGAGGACTTCGATCACCTTGACCAACTAAAATCTTTAGCTGGATCACCTGATTGATTGGTTCAGTGAAGGAAGCCTAATTGTCAGATAATAATCACAACCAGAGATGAGCATTTATTAAAAGCTCACATAGTTATCGCACAAGATATTAGTTTGTTTAACGATGATGAGGCTATTGATCTTTTTTTGCAAGCATGCACCTTGGGATTACAGATTTATGGAAGATTATGAGCAGCTTTCAAAAGAGATGGTCTCTTATACCCGTGGGCTTCCATTATAAGTTCCCAATTTTATTCTGTGTGACAAAAACATTCAACGGTGGTGGAGTGCATTAGCCAGATAAAAGAGATCCCAGATATTAAGAGTGTGTTTAGTTACAGAAAAATAGTTTTCATTTTTCGTTTTCAGTTTTTCGTTTTCGGATTTCATTGGAAAATTTAGAAAATGTGTTTAGTTAAAACTTATTCCTTTTTCATTTTCCGTTTTAAAAAATTATTTTTCTATCGGTTTTTATTTTCAATTTTTGTTATTTTAACTAACACCACACACATTCACAACCCCACTCACACTACACCCCACCCATCCCACCCTACTCCACCCCACCCACCTTACCCCACCAACCTCACCCACCACAACTCCTACCTACCCACCACACGATCCCTACCCACCCTACCTACCATCCTTATTCTCTACCCACCACGCCCACCCATACATACATTTAATATAAGAATCAACATAAAATTCAACGTATGATTCAACCTTAAAATAAACATTCCTAATAAGACAAGTTTTACCATTTTAATGGTATCAATATTGTGAACGTCCCCGATGACAATGTATATGTCTTTCCCATAGCACGTACACAATTGAATCTCTAACTTGAAGCATTTCATCTTGATTCGTCATATCCAAAGGAAAACCTTCTTGAACCGTGTTAAAGTCTTATGTGAGGTCTGGAAAATTTTCACCACTGTACACTAGTATAAAACCGGCATTTGGTAACGGTTTCTAAAAACAAGGTGGTGTCGATTTTCATATTTCTCAAAGTTAACGGTCGTAAACTAATTTCTATGATTGTTTCCATGAAGCCTTCATGGAAACAATCCTAGAAATTAGTTTACGATCGTTAACTCAAAACGAGTCACCAATGTAAATCAGACTTCATACATTAACATCGGTTTTACATGAGAATAGCAACAAGTAGTGCCACGGTCGAATACCCATCGCCAAATGTCATCTTTTATGTAACATCTAATTTTTCAGGTATTTGCTTTTGACCCTTGAGTTATGATTTGTTTGCAAGATTGGTCCCCAATGGCATTTCTGTAATTTTTTTGGCCTCGTGTGCGTACGTTGGGCGTACGTAGCTAGGGTGCAAACCCTAATATTTAGGGTTTGGACCCTATTTAAGCACCTTTATGGCCTCATGCACCCTCTTATCTTTAGCCTCTTTCCTCATTTCGAAACCCTAAAGTGTGTGAGTGTCTTGTGAAGCTTGAAGAGCCTTTTTGGTGTCATTTTGGATCTTTTAGAGAAGGAAGAACCTTGAGGTGGTGGTGTGTCACTCAAGGCCTTGGATCCACCATCTACTTCCCTTTAACATCCTTTGGAGGTATAAAGCTCCAACCTTGATGAGTATTTCATTTAGATCTAGTTTTAGCTTAAAGTTGACACCTTTTGTCCTAATCTTAATCTTTGTGAGTATGAAATACTCCAAGACATTTGAGTTGTCCTTCCAGATGTTTTTAGGGTGTGTTATGTCATAAAAATGGGATCGTGGACATTGGTTTCTTTCCATGCATGGTCTAAGTTGTCTTAATGGGTCAAGACGTTAGGTTTTTTTGTTATAAAGGTCTTAATAGCCATGCAAACCATAAAATTGGAAACTTTATGGTTAAAATCACCTTTTAGGGTCTAGATCTAGATTTTGGACGTAAGTACTTAAGGATTAAGCACTTAACGGATAAAGTTGAGATCAGCCGCGTACGCTGGGCGTACCAAGGGGTACGATGCGCGTACGTGGTCAGCTCCCCGATTCTGGTAAGCCAAGTATTACGCCATACGTTCATTTTGTGTACGCCCAACGTCTTCATTTTGTGTACGCCCAACGTACTTACTGAGTCAAGTCGATTGACTCAGATGACTTTGACTTGGATTTTTACTAGGGTTTAACCTAGGGTTATTTTAGATATTTTGATCTGTATGCTGAGACTGTATCATTGAATTCAATAAGGTGACTGGTAGAGTTGATCTCAAAGCGGCGTGCTATTCATTTTGCTTATCTGTCTGTGAGGGGAGTTTTCTCACTTGATCCAAGGGTCGAAGGCACCAATGTCGGCCCATTACTTGTTATGTGGAATGCTAGTTGTCTCTGTGATACTTGCATGAAAGACCAGCATCTGGCCCCTGACAATTGTATGAAAGACCAGGATTTGGCCCATGACACGTGTATGTAAGACCGAGATTTGGCCCTCAGCATTGCAAGGAAAGACCATGGGGGTAGCCCATGGCACCAATGTCGGCCCATTACTAGGCTTCGTGCTTACAGATTATGTTTATGATTTCATGTACTTCCGGTTTGAAAGGGAAGAGCCTGACATGATGGCACAACATCCTCCCCTCATGTTTTCTACATTTTGAACAATTGTACTCTGATGTTTTGAATATTATGACTTGGTGTTGATTTTGAATAATTAATGAATGATTTGATAGACTTAAAAATGAAAAATTTTATTACTGTTTTCGAGACGTTACAAGTTGGTATCAGAGCCTTGGTTTGAGGATTCGGGCACACTCTCGGGTGTGTCAGAACTCAAACTGAGGAAATGATAATCCTTATTTAAAAAAAGGGATTTCAAAAAGATCTTTATCAAGTAAAAATGGGGAGTGTGATGTGTGCAATCAACCGAGCTCAAGTAAGTAGTTCCCAAATTACCCATACTTATGTGTTATGTGCAATATGCTTGATATGAGAATTGCATGCTAGATTAGGGCTAGGGATACCTTCAGGAATCATATGATAGAATTTCCTGATTTGCGTGATGCCTTATATCCGAGTAGAACTTGATGCTATGTATTACTTGGAATTAATATTGGCTTAGTTAATTGCTAAGTGTATGCTTTCAAAGTTGTACACGATTAGGATTGTATAGCCCTAGAATGATCGATTTGGCCTCATTTCATGTTCCTTGTTTGGTTGTGGACTTACGGTAGAATCATCATTTGACAGTCTATGTGATCCTATTTTGTGTATAACTTGCATGAAATGAGGAGATTTGGCCTCATTTCATGTTCCTTGTTTGGTTGGGGCAAATATGGGATTTGCATCCTGCCTACTGAGGGACCGAGCATGAGACTGGTGGGAGGAGATTAGACGAGTTGTAAGGTCAGCGACAGTGGCAGTCATGACGTGGGAGGATTTTGTTTAGAGGTTCCAGAGGGAGTTTGCACCAGCTATTGAGGTGCAACAGTTGGCAAGGGAGTTCCAGGACCTTCGCCAGACTACTGAGACTGTGTCGGAGATTACCGCCAAATTCAGGGAGAGGGCTTTATTAGTCTCGCAGTATGCTACAGATGAGGAGACGAGGAAGACGAGATTGTTGGATTAGGTGTCTGAGCCCATAACTATTTTGGTATGTACTTGACCCGATTATGAGCATGGTCCTTTTGGGTTGCCTTCACCATAGCAACTGATAGGATGAATTAAGGAGAAAAGGGATTAATTATGATTTATTAATATATTATGTGAATAATATATTAAAAGATAAATCATATTGTTTAATTAATATTGATCAAGAATTAATTTAGAATTAATTTTGTGGTCAAAAGAGATTAATTAAATAAAGGGGACTGATACTGTAATTATAAGATAGTTACAAAGTTGGGCTAGGGATCCATAAGGATGCAATGGATGAATTCTATATGAGAGTCCGTATAGAAATCGTCCAAGGGCCTTCTGGAAGGATCCATTGGGCTGCTTAAGGACTAAGCAACTGGATTAGGGTTTCCTAGTTGATAACCCTAGAAGCCTAACTATAAAAGGAACCCTCTAGGTCACCAAATTCGTGCCTAACACTTCTAAGAGAACCTTGGACGAATTTTGTGCCTCCTCCTCCCTCTCCTAAGTCATCTTGTTGCTAGTGGTGTTTGTGACTCCATTAGAGGTGCAACATTTGAGGCACTAAGCTTTCAAAGGTCAAGGATATTCAAGGAGAACTTGTTATTACTACATAACAAGAAAGGTAAAGATCTAAACCCTAGTTTATATGTCAATTTGATTGTTGTATACTAGTTCTTAGGATCGTTGCTTTGGTATTCAATGTTTTTGTGTTCATAGTAGAAAACCTAGATCAAAGCAATTATGGTTGCATGTACACCATAGGAATGATGTAATGCTCATAACCCAACAGTGGTATCAGAGCCTAGGTCGTTTTTCTAGTGAATAGATGCAAAAGTGAATTGCCAAAGTTCAAGAAAATCGAATTTTTTGTCTTCTGACTGGCTGACTCGTCGAGTCCCTGTATGGACTCGACGAGTAGGTCCTACTCGACGAGTTCCATAGTGGACTCGACGAGTCCAAGGGTCTGGTGCCGGGAATTTCGATTTTCTGGCCAGATTTTGTTGAGGATTACTTCCAAAACTCGTTTTTTTTCTTCCTAAAATCGATTTTTTATGTTTGTAATGTTTATCCTTATCAAAATTAATGGATTTGGTTAAATATGGATAATATAGGATTATTATTAGTCAAATATTTGACCTAGTAAGTTTGAAAAGTTTCAATTTACACCCTTTAGGTTTTATAGTTTAAATTTGAACTTAAAAGTTTTAATTTTTGAAATTTAAATAGTTAAACCCTAATGTTTTGAAAGGTTTCAAAATTTATCCTCAAGTTTTGGAATTTAAAATTTAATTAAAAGGTATTAATTTTGAAATATTAAATTCTAGAACCCTATTATTTTGAAAAAGTTCAAATTACAACCCTTATGGTTTTATTAATTTAATTAAGAGTTTAATTAAAGGAGATAATTAATAAATCCATAATTATATGGTTTGAGATT